CCCCCCTCCGATCCTCCAGCGCTGAGTGGAGAAATGAACGGGGGAGGGGGCAGGTACAGCTGGCTCTGCTATCTAGACTTAAGCAGCAGGGTGGATCTCGACAGTACTGTTGGGATCCATCCTGGCTGCGGCGCTCTCAGTAGAACGAGGACAATAGCTCGCTATATACTGAGCTTTGGGTCAGGGGAAGATGTTACTATATGGCCTCCTGTGACCCTAGAACTATGGGGGGAACTAGGGGGGGAACTAACACTTACTCCATAGGTTCTCTTTTAAGGACATCTGCAGGAAGGTCTCCTTCCCTTAGTTCCTAGCTCTACTACTACCCACCCTAGGGTGTTCCCCTGCTCCTAGGATAGGTGAGTGAAAGATAAGAGCAAAGGTCTCATTACTGACAGCACCAAGAACTATGGTTTCACTTTCCTGCCCCGTGTGGACTGACCCTCTGAAACCCCAGTTATGTCACACCAACATAACATGCCCATAGAGTCATTCCAGCAATTTCACCGATCATCATGAACCAAGCTAGCTACAATGCCCAAAAAAAGTAATACAAAGTGCCAAACCATAAAAATGATAAAATGGCGACTCACATTGATGACTCCGGGACAGTTGGGTCCGATCAGCCGTGTGGTGTTCTGACGGAGTAGTCGGTGTTTGACCCTCACCATGTCCTGCTGGGGGATTCCTTCTGTAATGCATACTACCAAGTGTACCTCAGCATCGATAGCTTCATGAATTGCAGCAGCAGCAAATGGAGGTGGCACATATATGACGGAGGCGGTGGCACCGGTGGCTGCCTTTGCCTGAGATGACAAAGCAAAATAAATAACAGAAAAAATTGTTACACAATTGAGCTCACATGCAAATACAAATGCAGCTGTCCAGTAAAATAGACCATTGAGAAGCTGACCAATGAGCAGTGCTTCTTGCTGTGCTACGCGGCAGTACGGGGTACAGATAATACATACGCACCGGTAGAGGGGGGGAGGAGCGTTCGCCCATAGGCAAGTAGAGCAAGGGGTGGGAGAGGCCCAGATCAAAGGGGTTTATTTCATTTAAAAAATTCACCTGGGAAAGTGGAATTACCCTTTAATTCTTCCCTACTCCATTCCCCCCCCAAAAAAAAAAAAAAAAAAAAAAAAAAAAAAAAACACAGCTTTGGCTTCACATACACAAGGAGGCTGATTTTTAACTTTAAAGCTGGCCATACACTCTGCGATTTTCGTTCAGGAATTTTCATTGCTGCCAAGAACCCTCTGTCGATTCTAGCTCAAATAGCCCATCAAGCACAGACCAATGCTGTTTCAAAATTCACTTGTTAGCAATTAGAGGTGCACCGAAATGGAAATGTTAAAACCGAAACAAAAAACAAAAATGGTCAGGCCAAAACCAAAATGTTTTATTTTTTTTATATTTTATAATAAAAAAAACTTTAATTTTTTTATTAAATATTTTTTACATTACTTTTAGGGGCTTTGGGGAAATATTAGGGGTCTAAACAGACCCCTGATATTTCCCTTTTAAAATAGAAAGGTTTAGGACACAAAGTACTCATCTTTTTTTCTGCAGCCCCAGTTATAAATGAACAGGAATCCTCAATGCTGAGTGTTCCTGTTCATTGACAACATGATGACATGGTATGTTTACTATAACTACAACTATGAATGGACAGGACGGGATGTAGATCAGTTTCCATTCATTATTGAGGAGATTGTACATAATTGAGGACATGGTATGTGTACAAACACTCAGCGATCACTGACTGCTTGTACCCGCTCTCCTCTCTGACACGTTGTCACAGGAGGCTGAGCGAGCGGTGCGGGAGGAGAGCCCAGCCTGTCTCCGTCTGCACATCGCTCTGCCGGATTGCGATAGGTGGCTGAGCAGTGTGGGAGGAGAGACGCTGGGCGCTCACAGCGCTCTCCTCCCGCAGCGCTCGGTAGGCTGTCACACTTTCTCTCCTCCCCGCTGGGACACAGAGCAGCGCCCAGTGGGGAGGAGAGAAAGCAGGGATGCGCCAATGTATCGGCAGGAAAATGGCACTTTCGAATTATGCCAAAAGTGCAATTTTCGTCCGCCGATATATCGGTGCATCTCTATTAGCAATACTAACTCACCGAATTTTGCAGATTGACAGAACAGATTTTCCTTTGCGCATGTGCAGTGTTACATAGTATCTGTGTTTATAGGTCCCTGAGTCATCTCGTTCTTAAGAGTTCTACTAAGTGGTCCTTAATCATTCCCTCTAACAGTTTACAAACTACCGATGCAAGACTAACTGGTCGGTAATTCCCAGGTTGGCATCTAGCCCCCTTTTTGAATATTGGAACTACTATAGCCCTCCTCCAGTCACTTGGAACTCTACCCGTCATTAGAGAGTCCTTAAAAATGAGGAATATGGTCTAGTTATAACCTCGCTTAATTCCTTAAGTATCTTGGGGTGCAGGTTGTCTGGTCCCAACGCTTTATTTGCATTAAGTAGATTAAAAGGAGAACTATGAGGTGAGTGCTTTTCACTCACCTCATAGTTCTAGCCGACCTGTGACAATGAGACTGTCACAGGTCAGCTCAGTAGATCGGGAGGCGAGTGAACATACCGGCGTTCGCTCACCTCTCGATCCTGTCACGGCTCTCAGCCGTGACAGGGGAGGGGCTGGATTCCCCCCTCCCCGCTCCGCCAGCGATGACTGGCGGAACGGACGGGGGAGGGGGCAGATACAGCTGGCTCTGCCTCTAGATAGGCAGAGCCAGCTGTCGCTCGCGCAGCTGGGAGGATCGACATCGATATCGGGATCCGCTCCGGCGTCTCAGTAATACTGAGCTTAGGGTAACGGGAGGACGCTAGCTTGTGTCCTCCCGTTACCCTAAAGGAGAACTATGGGGAAAAGCCCTAACCCCATAGTTCTCCTTTAAGTATTTGTCGTATCCCGGTTTCCGTCAACCACTGAGGCATATTTTGTTATGAACTCTGTTTTATCTTGGACGTCAAACCCGTTTCCCTAGTGAGTGTATACTGAGGAGAAAAAAAAAAAGTGTTCAGCGCCTCGGCCCTGTCATTTGTGACTAACTTCCCCTTTTCGTCCTTTATTGGGCCTATCTGCTCCTTTCTCACTATAGATATATATCTATATAGATCTATATATCTATAAACTAAACTGTGGCAATATGCTTTTTGCACTCTATTTTAGCTGCCCGTATTACTAGTTTACATCTTTTATGACATTCTTTGTAGTTATGGAACATCAATGCCGTCCCTTCCATCTTATATTTTATAAATGCCACTCGCTTTTCTTTTATGTGATGCCTTACATTTTTATTTAGCCATATAGGCTTTGTTTGCGATCTTTTACTTTATTACCCAACGGCATACACTTGTCAATGGCAATATGTAAAGAGTTCTTAAAAACATTCCCACTTTTGGTCCGAGTTCAGTTTGTGAAATACATTTTCCCATTTGATGTCCCCCGCTAGGTCGCGCAGTTCATTAAAGTTAGCCCTTCTGAAATGTAGGGTTCTTGTCCGTCCAGCGCCCTTCCCTTTCCTGTATCCAATAGTGAAAGTTATCACATTGTGATCACTAATACCCAGTGTCTCCCCAATTACAATATCCTCAACTAACTCTGCATAATTAGTGACGCTTAAATCTAGGATGGTATTTTTCCTAGTTGGAACCCCCACAGTCTGGTCCATGAAATTGTCTCGCAACATGTTCAGAAATCGGCCCGCCTTTGTCGAACCTGAGGTTCCATTAGCCCAATTTATATCTGGGTAATTGAAGTCGCCCATCACGACTACATTGCCCTCCCTCCCAGCTATTTCTATTTCGGACTGTAGATGAGCCTCCCCCTCCTTCCCTATATTTGGAGGTTTGTAACAAATACCCACAACTAGTTTACGAGTAGCGTCCATCATTTCTAGTTCTAGCCATAAGGATCCCACATCTTCTCCACTATTTGACGTGATATCGTCCCTAATATGCATATTTAGATTATTTTTAACATAAATGCACACTCCCCCCCCCCCCCCCCCCCCCCCTTCTTCCACATCTGTCCCTCCTGAACAGGTTGTACCCCTCTATATTGGTGTTCTTGCTGCAATTTTTCTCATACGAAAACACCACTAATCCAAATTGTTGGTGTCCCATGAAATGATCGATTATCGTTCAAAAGACCATTCTTGGGCGATTTCCAGAACGATAAAATCGATAGGTGTGCGGGCACCTTTATACTTAGCTTGTAGCTGGGCAACCGCCTCATTATAGGGACAGCGTTGGCTCTTGGAACCTAAGGACCCCAGTGCTGCAAGGCAGAAGTCCCAACCACTAAGACAACATGTGGCCCAACTTTACAAAGAAGTTCTTACCTCTGCCACAGAGTTGAAAACTGGTAGACCGAGATGAGTCTTTCCACCCTTGCCAGGTGAAATGCCCCCAACTAACTTTGTTCCGTATTCCAAAGCCTGCTGGCTATGAAATGTGCCCTGTAGAGAGAAATACATCAACATTAAACACATTCCTACTGCAAGATAAAAGATCTCAAGCCAACTGCAAGCGAAAGGAACCAATGTCACAACACAAATTACTCCATTAAACGCATAGCATCAGGTTCTGTACATTGGACTGTGAGCTGCAGAAACTTCTACACACCGAAACTTACAGTCTGAAGATCAGCACCAACAGCTTCTGCTACGGGCTTGTTCACACCAGATGAAAGCATTTCCAGCATGTACATGTAGGCTTGCTTCCCAGACTAGATTAGAGCTCCTGCAGTTCATGTGTAAGAATACACTGGTGTGAATGGGTCCTTAAAGTGTATGTAAACCCAACAATATACTTCTCTTATTTGGGCCATTTGTCAGCTAAGTATACCATTGGATGGAGTATTTTTAGATCTGTTAAAAAAATACCTGTTGTCAGAAATTCAGAGCAGTCCTTTACCTTATGCCTGTGTTATCTCAAGAAGTCCAATCAGCCCTCCCAGTTCTTCTCTTGGACTACAAAACACTTAAAGTTAGCCATGTGTGCTATACACAGAGCCTTATTTACCACTAGGAGACTGGTGGCAAGAACATGGATATCCACCATCCCTCCTTCATTATCAGAATGGATCTCGGAGTTAGATAAAATTGTAATGTTTGAACGCATTACCCATCAATATAGAGGGATTGGTGAAGATACATTTTGTTTTTACTCTGGTCCAGATGGCTACACTATTATACACATTAAGGGCACTCACAACAACAACAACATGAAGAAATTCTAGACATATGGAGGGTTGTATATGTGATCTCAAGATATAAATTTGACTTATTCAGTTCCAAGTCTCTGTTTCTTTTTGAATTACATCAGTGTTGTAAATATGTCTGTGAAGGTTCTCATTCATCCAGGGCATGGTTGTGACTAATGCATTATGTGGATTGGAGCAACATTCACCATATTTACTTTTGTACAAGTCATTCTGAATTTAGAAAGCTGGTTGGATGACCAGTGAAATATCTGCAGACACTTATGAGATATTTAGGTTGTAGTCACCATGAGGTTGCAGTTTCCACCGAGCTCAGGTGATGTTAAAATTGACTTTTGACCAACTGGGTTGTACTGACAGGACCACCCACGGCTAGAATGTGGCCCAATTCAACAGGAATCAGCTGAACTTTCAGCCACACATGGTAAGCTTTATACTCCATGTTATGGAGATGAGGACAGAGAGAGGGGTTCACTAGTTTAGCAAAAGACAACTAGGCAGTGTGCATGGACTGCAGAGATGTACTACATGTTTTATATTGTGTCTGGACATCCAACTTTAAAGGAGAACTATGAGGTGAGTGCTTTTCACTCACCTCATAGTTCTAGCCGACCTGTGACAATGAGATTGTCACAGGTCGGCTCAGTAGATCGGGAAGTGAGCAAACACATACCGGCGTTCGTTCACCTCTCGATCCTGTCACGGCTCTCTGCCGTGACAGGGAAGGGGCTGGATTCCCCCCTCCGATCCGCCAGCGCTGACTGGCGGAACGGACGGGGGAGAGTACAGCTGGCTCTGCCTCTAGATAGGCAGAGCCAGCTGTCAGTCAGGCAGCTGGGCGGATCTCGACATCGATGCCGGGATCCGCCCTGGCTGCTGCGTCTCAGTATACCGCGAGCTGTAGCTCGTGGTATACTGAGCATAGGGTGACGGGAGGACTCTAGTTTGTGTCCTCCCGTTACCCTTCGGAGAACTATGGGGAAAAGCCCTGACCCCATACTTCTCCTTTAAGACACATTTTCACATGTATTTTAAGGGGTTCAAATGAATTGAGCCCTTCATAAAACATGCTCATAAAATGCAGAGAAACGTCCAGTGAGAACAAGCCATGGGGCTGCACAGGAAAATAAATCACTTTGCTGCTGGCAGATTTAAAATGCAAAGTTCACTTATGCGAGTCCCTACCACCCCTAATTAAGAAACTAAAGGCATATCGTTTTTAAGAAGAAAAAAAAAAAATGTAAAATATACTTAAACTTAAATCCTGGTTTCCTTTAAGTGTAAAGGATATTACTGAATGCGACCACAAGATTCTGGAAAGGCTTTGGCATCCCTATCTTTCCTAGGAACCCCCCTGTGTGTGTTGTAAAGTAGTCACAGCTCCAAGCTCACTCCTGTGATGGACTACAATCCCAATACAAATTCATAAACTAAACATGAGATTGTAGTCCATCACAGGAGTGAGCTTGAAAACGGTGGCTACTTTACAACACGCACAGGGACCACGGGCAACAAAAGTAGCCACCCTCCAGAAGGAAGGACAGTGTCAGCACCAATTCAGAGATGGTTTGAGGATCTACAGCCGAGTGATACACAAATAACTATGACTCCTTTCTCAAGCAGAGTGCTATGCAGTCACCCTTGTGTGTGCTAGTAAGCTGTGTATGTCTCCACAAACAGAAAGACACAGCAAATCATGCTACTTCCCTTCCCCCTGGCCCGATTCCTCCCTCTTCTCTAAGCTAGTAGATCAGGAGTAGCCAAACTCCGTCCCTCCAGCTGTGGTGGAACTACAAATCCCATGAGGCATTGCAAAACTCTCACAGCCACAGACATGACAAGAAAAAAAAATATTAGAACATGACCTTTGAAGAATATAATCCTGTGAGGGCAGGAGGGACTAAATAATACAAACCTGTTTTCCAGTGAAGCCCTGGCATATTATTTTAGTGTCTTTGTCAATGTACAAGTGTTTCCGGGAGGCTGTATACGAGTTATGCCTTACTCCATTCTGTTGCACTGCAAGACAAAAAGGCAAAAGATTAACAGGTCAGGTTATAAAACTCATCATTCACACAATAGGCAGGCGAGGGCACGACAGGGGCATGAATGGGCGGGCGAAGGCACGGTGAGGGCAGGAATGGGCATAATTGGGACACTGTGGAATATATTGATACCCTTTAAAGGGGACCATGCAAGGTCGGCATATAATACACGGGCCCCCTCCCCCTTTACACATCACCTGTTACCTCACCCCGTCTTTCCTATCGGTGGGCGATATGTCACTGTCCTTCTGGGATGTTTCCCAGGGAATGCGGAGCAGCAGTCAGGAAAAAACAACTTGGTACTTGTACTCGGCGTCAAGTACAAGTGCCAGTATTTATATTTCGGTACTCGCCGATACCAAGCACCGATACCTGTACTTTCGGTGGCATGGAGACGGCTTCCCGGGCAGTTATTTCCCCAACTCCTTGATCGCCCGGGAAGCCGGCTCCATGCTGTTTGACCAGGAAGGCGGCTTATTACCGAATCAGCGTTGAGCCGGCTGTTTGGCACTTCCGGGTTTTGCCGCCCACAGGCAGCCTGCCGGCCCTGCGATCTAGCCGGTGATGTCACAAATCGACCAGAAGATGCACAAGGAGAGCTGTTAGTTCGCAGCTGGTGAGCACTGCACCCTGCGATTGGGGAGCGCCAAATAGCATGGCCAATCCTGATTAACCTGCCAGCATGTCTTTTGGAGTGTGGGAGTAAGCCGAAGTACCCAGAGGAAACCCACGCAAGCACAGGGAGAACATGCAAACTCCTTGTAGATAGCGACCTGGCCAGGAATCGAACCAGAGACCCAGTGCTGCAAGGCAGAAGTGCTAACCACTATGCTGCACATACACAAGACAAGACAAGGTCGGTATGACCCCAGTCACTATTACTTTTGGTGGACAGAAGGGTCACATATAAATGTGAAGTATAAGGAAATGTTGCATAAAAAAAAAAAAAAAAAAGAGGCCACACTGTCTGTTAACCCAACATGGTATCGCCCCGACTATGTACCACGGCTCCCTCCAGTCATATCACCGTCCACCAGCAGCAGTCAGCCAAGATTGATGCGTTTCAGGGGCAAGCCCCCTTCATCAGAAACCCTTGCCCCTGAAACGCGATTTTACACAGGGAGGTGGCGCTCTGTTCCCTTTTGGTTTTCTATGTTCGTGGTGGAAGCCCCAGAGTCTTGGAGGAGCAGTCCCTCAAGTCTGTCTGAAAAATTGTGATAAACTGTTCAAAACTTTGATTATGCAACAGCAAGTGGATTGTTCAGCAACCATTAGCGCCAAGAGTTAAAAGAAAACTGTTTGTCTATTCATAAGGCTTTAAAAACACAAGAATAAAAGGGCTCCTTCACACCAACCCATCCACTAAAATGCTGCATTTCAGCAGACCGGATAGTGCAGTGGTTCTCAACCTGTGGGTCGCGACCCAAAAGTGTGTCACAACTCACTGTTGAGGGGGTAACCACATGCTTTGTGCTGCGCTAGGCGAGAGGCTCCTCAGCCACCTCCTAGAGCAGCAGTGTCAGTTCTCCGGCCGCGCCTCTAGATGGCGCTGCAGCACCAACAGCCGAGGAGGATCAAAGAGAGGGGAGCGGGCGGGAGTTGAATGTCGGCTTGACCAAAGAGTCCCACTGGCCAACACACTGGCCACCAGAGAGCCCACACTGGCCCCAGAGAGCCCCATTGACCGCGAGAAAGCCCCATTAAGCTCACGAGCCCACACTGGCCAGCTGAGAGCCCACACAGATACTAGTATTGGTGCATTCCTAAATTTTACGATTGTGGGTCACCACAACCTGGCAAATGTTACCAAGGGGTCCCAGCCCTAGAAAGGTTGAGAACCACTGGGCTAGTGCATTGTGACAGCTTCAATAGTGTGTTTTACAGCACACAGCCGGAGCTGCTTTTTTTTTTTTTTTACTTTTTGTGAAGTGTACAATGTTTACATTCCATTCAGGTTTCCACGCAGCAGGGCCCTGCGGTGATCTGGTTGGCCCCCTTCCTGATTTTTCATTGTTTTGCACGTTTGTCACTTTAAATGTTTCAGATCAAAACAAATTTAAATATTAGTCAAAGATAAAAGTAAACAACGTGCAGTTTTTAAAAAGGAAGGTTTTTATTATTAAGGGGAAAAAAAATCCAAACCCACATGGCCCTGTGTGAAAAAGTGTTTGCCCCCTAAACCGAATAACTGGTTGGGCCACCCTTAGCAGCAAGAACTGCAATCAAGCGTTTGCGATAACTTGCAATGAGTCTGTTACAGCGCTGTGCAGGAATTTTGGTCGACTCATCTTTGCTGAATTGTTGTAATTCAGCCACATTGGAAGGTTTGCGAGCATGAATCGCCTTTTTAAAAAAGGTCATGCCACAGCATCTCAATAGGATTCCGGTCAGGACTTTGACTAGGCCACTCCAAAGTCTTCATTTTGGGGGTTTTCAGCCATTCAGAAGTGGACTTGCTGGTGTGTTTTGGATCATTGTCCTGCTGCAGAACCCAAGTTCGCTTCAGCTTGAGGTCACGAACAGAAGGCCACACATTATCCTTCAGGATTTTTTGGTAGACAGCAGAATTCATGATTCCATTTATCACAGCAAGTCTTCCAGGTCCTGAAGCAGCAAAACAGCCCCAGACCGCCACACTACCACCACCATATTTTACTGTCGGTATGATGTTCTTTTTCTGAAATGCGGCGTTACTCTTACGCCAGATGTAATGGGACACACACCTTCCAAAGAGTTCCACTTTTGTCTCGTCAGTCCACAGAGTATTTCCCCAAAAGTCTTGGGGATCATCAAGATGTTTTCTGGCATAACGGAGACGAGCTTTTATGTTCTTTTTGCTCAGCAGCAGTTATTGTCTTGAAACTCTGCCATGCGGGCCATTTTTGCCCAGTCTCTTTCTTATGGTGGAGTCATGAACACTGACGTGAGGCAAGTGAGGCCTGAAGTTCTTTGGATGTTGTTGTGGGGTCTTTTGTGTCCTCTTGGATGAGTCGTCGCTACGCTCTTGGGGTAATTTTGGTTGGCCGTCCACTCCTGGGAAGGTTCACCACTGTTCCATGTTTTCGCCATTTGTGGATAATGGCTCTCACTGTGGTTCGCTGGAGTCCCAAAGCTTTAGAAATGGCTTTATAACCTTTTCCAGACTGATGGATCTCAATTACTTTCTTTCTCATTTGTTCCTGGATTTCTTTGGATCTCGGCATGATGTTTAGCGTTTGAGGATCTTTTGGTCTACTTCACTTTGTCAGTCAAGTCTTAGGCCTTGTTCACACCAAGCACGGAGCAAAGCAGAGCAGTTGCAGACCGGATCAAAACTGCGTCCAATGTATTCCAACGGTATTTTTTGCTCCAGTTCACATCGCAGCGTGCAGTTCCAGAGCAGGTGAAAAAACTGCAGCAGGCCCTATTTTACCTGCTCTGGATCTGCAAACGCATCTCAAACACCTGGAACGCACTGAAAGCCCATTTTAAACTATAAACATTTTTTTCGCCAAGAACGCATCTAAAAGACTAGCATGCGTGTGCAGAAAGCTGACCGGATCTGCTCTGCATTTGGTGTGAACAAGGCCTTATTGAAGTGATTTCTTGATTGCGAACAGGTGTGGCAGTAATCAGGCCTAGGTGTGGCTAGTGAAATCTAACTCAGGTGTGATAAACCAGAGTAAAGGTGGCCATCTCAGATTGATGGGACGTAGACAGAAAAGGTGGATGTCTGTGTCAAAAGGGAACTTATTTCCAAATCTCACTGGACTCAGCTGAAAGTAACTCACAATCCTGGAAAGAAGAAGTATACGTATCCTGGTTTACTAGCTTTGTGAACATAGCCCGTGCATACGATCCCTATTGCATTCTGCCAATTCATAGTGCTTTATACCTATAAAATACCCATTTATATTGCGATTATATATATTATTTTTTTTGGTATGATACACGTCCTTTAATAAAAAGGTCCTACAAATGTCAGTGCTGGAACACCATTACTGTATGTCCCTATACCGGGGTCACAGGGCATTCAAGAAGACACTCGGAATAGCGTATAAAGGTTCAGTATTGCTGCAGCCTGAGCCGACTCCAAATACACAACTAGTCAGAACCTGAAATATCTGTACAATACGTTGGAAAGGTAACCGGAGGCTCAGCGCTTAGGGATTCCAGCAAACAGCTCCTTTACCCATAGGCATTGGTGCAAAGTTCACTGGGGCAGCTGTGACTTGTCTGTCAACAGGTACTGTGTAGATTACAACTTTGCACTTTGGCCACACAGCCCGCCTGGGGAACCTTCATACAGCAAAGCAAAATATTTTTTTTTTTTTAAACTTAACCCTTTAAGGACTAGTAGACCAGGGCTATGGGTGTGTGTAAAATATTAAACATGATTCTGTAGTAATATAGCAATATAAGAGCTCACATTAGTAACTTCTCTTTAAAGACTATCTCCGGGTATAAAAAAAAAAACTCCCATTGAAGTGGGGTCGCCCTGCACTAAAAAGGGTCAACAGCTCATTTTTGTCTAGGGCAAGAGTAGGCAACTCCAGCCCCCCTGCTTAAATCGATGGGATATGTAGTTTCACCAAACCGGGAGTGCCAATGATGCCTACCCCTGGTCTAGGGGAGAGGAAAAAGCTGTTTTACCTAATCCCAGCTCCCCTGGCAGTCAGCGCTCTCCTTGCTTCTTGATCTCCGCTTCCCTGGCAGTCAGCGCTCTCCTTGCTCCCTGATCTCCACTCCCCTGGCAGTCAGCGCTCTCCTTGCTTCCTGATCTCCGCTCCCCTGGCAGTCAGCGCTCTCCTTGCTCCCTGATCTCCGCTCCCCTGGCAGTCTGCACTCTCCTTGCTTCCTGATCTCCGCTCCCCTGGCAGTCTGCACTCTCCTTGCTCCCTGATCTCCGCTTCCGTGGCATTCAGCGCTCTCCTTGCTTTCTGATCTCCACTCCCCTGGCAGTCAGCGCTCTCCTTGCTTCCCTCTGCTCCAGCT